GTAGAAAATATACAATTGTTTACATAAGTAGTTAAATGGTATACATAAGTAAATAGGTTGGTAGGTCTTACTTAAGAAAACCCGTATTTACATTATTTCCTAAGTCTATAATTCACAAGATAATCATTTTTTTCAATTTATATTTTAGAAATATGAATAATTTAACAAATTTCATATAATGCTATTAGTATTTAGGACTAACGTTTAATGACTTAAATCCGCGTTTTACATCGATGCTTTATTTATGGATTTATAAATAGAAATTATGATGTTTTTCATGTGCTAGAGTTTAATAATTCTGAGAAGAATATTCATATGGACTTGAAATCTATGTTATCAATTTCCAAAAAAAAATAAAAATATGAAAAAAATAATATTTTTGCCAAATGATACTGCATAACCTATATCTAGAGAGCCTAGATAATAAGAGAGTGGTCAACCAGCTGAACGTTTTCTATTGGTTGGCTGTTCATGGGCACCATTTTTCGTCCAAAATGTTCAAATAATTTTCAAATCGACAATCGACTATCGAGTACCTACTACTTATAGGCGTATATTATATAGGAAACTGCTGTAAAATATTATTAGTTTATTGATTTATTAATTTTCTTAAAGATTAAAGTATACGTATTATCATTGAATCGCGTCATCATGCCGGGCTGTTGTGCTTATGGTTGTCATAACCGGAGTGAAAATGGATTTAAAATAAAATTTTCCCTAGAAATAAAGAGCGTCGTGCGTTATGGGCTGTTAGAGTCAAGAGGGATAATTGGACTCCGACAGATAATTCATACCTTGGTGAAGTAAATAATGAATTCTCCATAGTCTAGATAATAACTAATAAGGTTAGGTTRACTATTAAATAGGTTTTTTAATTAATAATATTCAGCAAGGTACCATACCTACATGATATTTAAAGTTAATAAGTTTTAAATTTAAAGTACCTACCTATGTAAACAATAAAGATGAGATTAATTTTGTTGGGTATAGATACTATACATTTAATAATAATATAAATTACACAATTACATAATATATTACAAATACGAGTATATTACATAATATTGTTTTTATTAAAGTTTATAAATTTATAATTATAATATATTCAACACATAGTACATTAGAAAACTTTTTATAGAAAAAAGTTCAAGACTGAACTTGTTTTAATTGTGGCTAATGATTATATTATCATACATTCATATTATAGCAAATATTTTATAGCTTACTCAAATATTTTTTTTTTTTTTTATTTTTATTATAATTTAATGCATGTATTTTCACTTTCTAGACAGTCTTAAATTTCAAGAATATTAAATATGCATGTCTTATAAATAAAAACCTAGTTAAATTATAAATGTATGTTAATTTTTGTATTTTATCTATTGTATTTATACGTTAGAATTAAAATTCAACACTTGATGGTAATTTTATTTAAAATATGAATCRTTAGTGTTATAGAATAATATTTAATATGTATAAATTTGATCTACGAGTATACAGATTTCCGACTTGGTCCAACATCGTCTATCAAGCAACAATAATAAAATAACAATGTTTTTCCGTACAAATTATATAATTAGAATATTATTTCTTCTAAAGCTAAATAATATATTATTTTATTTACCTATAGTAAATGTATTTATGTAATTATGACAATTATGTACGCATGTATATTATGTATTATAAAATACATAATTATATTGCTATATAATAATATAATCATTTAATAAAAATTAAATTTCAAAAACAAAAAAAGGCGGGAAAAGTTTGGACGAAACATGGCTGTTATCTACTTAGTTGGCCAYTMTCTTATTATCTAGGCTCTCTACCTATATCCATATAGTAAATTATCAAATAAAATTTGAATAAAAATAATTATATTTTATTTTTAAAAATCTAGTTAATATAAATATAGTATGAATAGCTTGATTGGAGCAAATTTCTGACATTTTACTTTTTAAAACAATTAAAAAGGAGGCACTCGGCACCCATTCCAAGAATTTGAAACTATTTGCGAAGAAGACCCACCCAACTGCTAAACATTTAAACACAATAAAAGTGTAAAAAGTGAATTTTTTATAATTTRAAATATTTAAGAAATCATAAGTAAATCGAGTATGATATAAAAATTCAAAATATCTTTAATTGTAATTAAATGTAATCGAGTGAAACGTTTCGAATGGATAAGTGTGAAATTTTATAATAATATATTTGATTTCGTTCAACAAATTAAACAATTTTAAAATTAATTCCAGCGATGTGTATCTACGTCAACTACGTGCATTTTCCCATTATCAAGGCTTAATTAATTTTCTCTTGCGTAGATGCGTTGGAAAAGTACAAAATGAATTAACATATTGTATGTGAAAACTAATTAATTCATAGACATTTTATACGAAAATGACACGGCGCGTCTGGACCCTCTTCATTTTGCCAAAAACACCAATATTCTCAAAACAACCCGGCATATTATAATAATAATGGAATGGTCTAAAATCAAAAACGATCTTAGATGTAAGCCGTGGAGTCATTTGAGTGGAAACTAAGGTGGGGACAAGTGCCCCATCTGATCAGTACCTATAAACTATTGGTGAATAAACATAAWTTTAAAAATTTTTGAAATTTTTTTGCAATTTTAAAGAAATACTGTCACGTTAATATTTTTAACTTAAAATATGATATTAAATAGATGCGTAGTTGGTATTTTATAAATACTATTGAAATTCAAAAAACAAAATATTATCATATTTAAATTTTATATAATATGATTTTAAAAAAAAAAAAAACATTTATATTAGAATACAACCTATTAAAAATATTCTGATGTAGTTATTACGTTTTTGAATAATAGTGTTGTTTCATATTAAAATTTAACATTGTGTATTTGTTTCACTATACAATCATTTAGCTTATTCTGCGTCTTTTCCACACGTCTTTCTCTCAAGTGCGTATAATAAAGTTATACGAGATGTAAATATGACGAGATAAAAATTAGGATATGCGTGAAGTGATAGTTTTTTTGGTTAAATTATGTGTGGATTAAATAAGACTTTTTCCTCATTCTAAGAAAAACTGCAATTACACCACCGAGGGAGTAATCACACAACGCCCAATAATTGATACTCTGAAAAATATATTTGTACGTCTTTGAAAATTATTTGTGCCCACTTAAACGATTTCATTTATARTAAATTAGAGTARGTAAAACAGCACTCATAAATGAGTCAATACAGCAACTGATGTTTGAAATTTTGAGAGTTATTATCTAATGTACTTGTGTATTACAGAACACACAACCTCGAAACTAAATCGTCGAGATTCCTTCTTTCGTCCAAAAAGCAACTAACTAGGTCACCAGTCGCCTTTGGCTGTGTCATTATATTATTAAATTTAACGCCTAAGTGGCAGTGTACCTATAGTGTATCTGCTGCACAGAACATGATTCAGTACACTAGTACCTAATGCACAATTTAATCATTACACTATTATACTTATTGTACTATAATAATATATTAGATGTATATGTATTAATTAAACCTACAGTTTATATTTAAAACCGTGTACTTGTAGTATAACCATTTGTTCGTAAAATATTTTTATTTTTTAATACTATACTTGAAAAATAATAATATTATGTGAAATCGAAAATACAAATAAATTTATCTCGGTGGTAAAAATTCATATATTTTTATCTAATGTTTAATAAAATGAAAAACTTCAATGATTACCTGAAATTTTTGATTTTGAATTCTGAGCAGAGCAATGAATGCATCAATGTTATAAGAATAATATTCTTATAACATATTATATTAATAATATTATAACATATTATGTGTTTTTTTATTTATTTATTTTAAAACTTGCAATATTATTTATCTAGATGAGATAAAAGAAAACTAAATATTTATCTAGTGGAGCATGAACACTGTTATACGAACAGTAGTAAAATCTAGGCAGAGGCCAACCTCAATAATAATATTATAGATCAGTGATAAAACAGTATAACTATATTATATAATTGCACAACACATAAAACAGATAATTTTTTGAAAACATTTTTGTAATTAAGTGAATAATAATATATTTTTTATCATTCATTATAATTATGYAGGAATTAAAATCAATGAATGCTCACCTCCATTTTTCCAGCTAATAATAAATTTATCATAATCCGATTTTCACATTTTTTAAACATACTTAATGACTATATTTTTAAATTCTTAAGATTTTTTGTACTGAGTTTCCTGCGACACAAAATACTGTCACCCAAAATTTGAGAAAGAGCATTTTTGCTGTCAATTTTCATTGCATAATTTTTTGAAAATGTTATATCTAACAAAAAATTCTAACGAATAGTTTTTAAATATATCTAAATATAATATGTATTATTACYTAAGGATAATAATCCTTCAAAATTATTTTACAATAAAATTAAATATAATGTTTAATATACTGATATCGCATCAAGTATTTATTAGATTTTGGAGCAGATTAATATCAATTACCTACTACAATTTTCAAATACATAGCCATAGATTTTCCATGCATATACCTTGGTAGTTGATACACACTTAGTGTCTATGACTGAATAACTATTTGTTTGAATTTGGAATTTGACGMATCAAATTTTTCAGAAAAATGATTTAACAAACAATTTCCAGTCAAAAAGTGTAGAGGCCCCTACTCATTCGATAAATAGTTTTTATCCCGACAAGGTACCTACTCCTTAAGTGATACATCAAATCTAGATAATCTAAAAAACGATTTGTAWGGGCTTAAGACCGAAAATATTTTTTTAGTTTTCAGTTTTGGTTTCAACTACTTTTATTATTTCTCATGTCAAATTTGGTTTTAAGTACAGGTATATATTTCTGATTTTGTTTAAAATTTTCCATAGAATTTTCGGGCGTATTCGAAAGATCAAATAATAATTATGGCAATTCGATTGCTTTTTTTTTAGACACACATTTTTTCCCAGTCAAATGTTAAATATTTCGAACCTTTATGAACTCCCCGAGCGTCGGTTGTCCGGGTGACRATAAATTCAAAGCAATTCTGGTATGTCGTATCCATTTACGCACCGGCGGTGGATATCCCACCATAAWAATTCGGTCATATTTCTTGACACTTTGCCAAAAATTAAAATTGAATGAATATAAMACACAAATAACACATTTTCCGGGTCAAACGCGGGCGTGATATTCGACAAATGCAAACACTAAGGCTGCTTGATATTGTTGGGGTTGRGCTGCGAAGGGAAATAGTAAGATATACACGAGAGTTGAAGGTAAAAATAAGATACGTTAATACCTATTACCTATAAGAATCTATGATAGGTATGGATAACCTATAAAATAAAAACAATTTGGAAGTAAATGTTATGTTTAAGGTCCCACAACAATCTACTAGAAATTTTCAGAATTATTCAACTTCTCAAAATGTACAAAGTAAATAATTACATAGATCATCAAGATAAAGACTTTCAAAACTCGAAATTAATTTTCCGACTTCGAGATTTAGTCGTAATATGTTACCAAACCTTATCACACTAATCCTGCAAGATTATATAATATAATAAAGTCACCCACTATAGTAATATTTAAATATTTAATTAAGGAATAATAAATGAAAAAAATATGCTTCCCAGCTAGTTATGCCAGTAGGTATAGTTGTATTTCTATTTCGAACACAGACTACGATATTCTTGAACTTAGAAATGAAAAGAAAGAAATTTTGAAATTAAAAATTAAGGAAAATTTTATCATATGTGTAAAAAATCAAAATCATTCATCGGGGAGTAAAAAAAAAATGTTACGTATACCCTATATGATATGAAAAAAACTATGATGCCTATTATTTTTGCAAAACTAGTAGAACAACGTATGCGCCAATATAAAATTATCCCTAATAAAATATTATAAATCTTATGTCAAAAATAAATATAAAACATTTTGGTAGATGGTTACTGATTTACACAAACATTAATATTTTATGTATTTCAAATTTCAATGTATTAAGAATCGTCAGTTATCCATGAATCTATGATAAAATACGATATCTATTTATTGAAATTTTGTTGAAACTCACTAGTCTCACTACGTAAGTGCCTACTATTATACAGTACTATACGATACTATGTCTCAAAAAAAAAAAWATATATATATTTATATTTTCATAAAATCTTGTCAATTTTATTAGAATTATACGTATAACGTTTTTCAACAATATGCCTACTTAATTTTAAATATAATAATTCCGTAGGGATGCGCGGACGTAGGGTTATGCCATTCAATATTTAACTTGAAATCGTCAGATTGAAAATTTCACACTGTTTTAAATAATTCAATATGTATGATGTCTTATAATATTATCATATATGTATATATATATATATATAGACTATACACAGAAAAATATTGATAATAAATGCCTTATCAACCAAGATTTATAAATCTTAATTGCTAATTGTTATAAATTAGATATAAATGTTATTGCGTTATTATCGGTTAACTCATCACTTATCAAATGGGTCCCTAATGAAAAAAAATTATTTATTATTATTATTTGATTATTTGACACAATAAATTGACTTTTAAAAATATTCTCTTGCTATAAGTTTACGACTGTGCACACACTTTTACATATTATTATTATAAAAACTTTTTTTATTTAATTTAATTTTTTCACATAAGTGAAATATTTCTAGAAATTTTYAAACCRAATCTAGATTTTAACGCTTTTTTACCATAGTGTTTTTGATCAACTCGTTTTGGTAATTGTTTCTCCTACCGAAAAACAGTTAAATTTGCGTAACTCCATGCGGTCTCATATTTGATTCATACTAATTTACCGGTCCGAAAAAGTTGCCAGTTAGTCTCTTGCGACAAATTCTGGTGGTTTTATTTTTTTTTTTTWWWATATCATTTCACACACAAAACTGAAAACACATCGTATAATATATATAATAATTCTTCAATAATAAATACAACCACATTGTGCGCATATTATTTTAATGTGGCACTCGCATTGTCGTATGGAAACGGGTAGCCACGGTGTCACTGTTTCGAAATTTATTTACACGCGTGACAAAGTTTGTGCCAAATTAAACAAAGAAATAACAAACTGAGTATATTATTAAAGAATCACGAGTATATTATAATAATATTATAAGCCATGATTTTAATAATATTGTGTACAGTGTAATATAATGTCACGACGACGTAAATTATTATTAGCAGCCAACTACTACAATATAAAGTATTACGTATAAAGTATGTTGCGAGAAGTACCTAACACGTGTAGGCAGTAAAATAATAATATATTTTACAATATCGTGAAAAAATTCGGCGAAA